ATCGGATGGTTGTGATTTTTTGTAGAAAGTAAGTGGGGAATTCATATTAAATTATTTTAGTGTCATTGCAGCTAATTGCTAAATGGTTCCTAAATGAGTGGACTAAAGTAGGTAAACCTAAACCACTATATGTGGTTGAGCTTGGGCCTGGAAGAGGAACACTCTCTGATGATATGCTTAGGGTAAGAATATCATTTTTATGAGTTAATTCTATAAAAGTGTTAATATTTTGGTCTGTCCTTGTAAAGAAGTTTATGTTTGTGACTCTTTTTGTATGATACTGTGTATAATAAAAATAATAGAATTCTTAGCCACTAAGAACTGTATACATCTAAACCTGTAGTTCCAGTAGTTTCTAAAGTTTTATAATAAATATATAAAGGTATATTGAGGTAATTTGCTTTCCCAAAATCAGGTATAATTGATGGCCTACCGGATGTTGTTTTAGCTAACACTACTGTTTTGTTTATTTAGAGCTAATCAGTGGTGAGGTCAGTACTTTTTATTTTACATATCAGCTTGGTTTTATGACGTTCAATATTATATTAGGTATTTCTAGTTAACTGTTGAATTACTGTGTAAAATTTTTATCAAAAAATAACTTTTTATAAATATCATTGCACTTTATTGGTTTAGACAATGGAGGGGGAGCTAATTTTTGATCTGTTCCAGTAAAAATGCATCAAAATTTGGAAAATTACTCTCAGGAAACAGAAGAATGCATAAAATGTAATCCCCCCCCCCCACACACACACTTTTAATTTACCTCCTACACGTCTGCATTTGAAGACATTTCAAATCACATGCAATATATAAATTAAAATATAGTATATTAGATAGGGTTACAACATGTTTAAAGTGGTGTATGTGTATCAAACTAATATTTCAAATGTGAATATTTGCTATTTTCAGATTTCTGTTATTGTGAAGGAATAGAATATGATAATATTTTTGAAGTTATATATTCCACTCATGTTTATAGATTACCATAAACATTTATATCTTGACCTGATAACAAGTTATACATGTATCTAGTCCCCACTGTTTCAACACTGTCTGAGTCCACTAACTAGGAAAAAAAAAGACAAAATTTGTGGCACTTACCAGTACTGAAATGATTATTAACTACTGAACTTTCTGTTGATCACTAAACTTAGAAACCTTTTGAAGATTAAGAACAATGGTGGGTACAGTAAAAGGCATGTTCAGCATATTATCCCCCTCCCCAACAAAAATGCTAAGGTTTTCCTTTGGATTTCTAATCTGTTGCGACTTAAAGCAGTTCCATTGCTCCCTGGCTGCACTTGGTTACACATTTAACTTGAATGGACTGCAACTGTCTGTTGAAAGAAAAAGAGATAATGATGAAACTTTGTAAAATGGATGACAACTGCCTGTTGTAGAGACACAAGTGTAGAGGATGATGTTTTGAAAGTCTTCTGCCTTTCGTCTTCAGGCAGTTGCTGTCCATTCTACAAAGTTTCATCATGAATACTCAGCCTAAACAATCTGTCAAATCCAGACAATGTTTCAGCCTCTATACTAAGACATTCTTTTGAGGAAGGGTTATTTTTTACATTTTTATTCTGTGTGATTTGAGTTATATGTGATTTAGTTTGTTTTTTTTATCTAAATTTGTTTGTTATTTTGGTCCAGTTATGCAAAATTAATTAATTAGTTGCAGTTCTTATTTTAAAGCCTCTCTGTATTAAAGTTTAAAAATACTTCAGTTTACATTTAACTTCTGTGTGATGCTATTTCATCTGTGTTAAATACTTGGATAAATACTTAAAATAAGTATATACTTGAATTTGGTGATGTTTTTGGTTTAGGTTTTTTCACAATTTAGTGATTCACGAGAAGTGGTGTCACTTCATCTGGTGGAGGTAAGTCCCCATTTAAGTCAGCTGCAAGAGTTAAAACTATGTGGCACAGTCAGTGTTGTCAAAGATGTATTAGAAGCTGAAGATAGACATCGACATCTCCATCTACACACTAGTCCAGAAAGTGAAGAAAATTTCTATAAGCACAACATTACAAAACATGGTGTTCCTGTCTCTTGGTATCGCCATCTTGAGGATGTTCCCCATGGATTCTCTTGCTTCATTGCCCATGAATTCTTTGATGCCCTTCCAGTTCATAAATTTCAGGTTAGTTGTAAGTTACTAGTACAGCAGAGATGCAAGTCATTTTGATTTTGGCACAGTAATTCTAATGTTTAACTCTAGATTATACCGTTATGACCATAGCCTATAAATTCCCTTTTTTTTCTTTTTTTTTAGTTTTTCAATTTGTTATAACGTGATTGGGTATTTTTTATGGGGTGGGTGAAATGAAACAATAACACCATTGAGTTTGTAATCATTTAAGTATTTGTACTTTTCTACCTGTAATTAAATGCTTTTATAATGCTGTATACTATGTTGGCCAATCCCAAATCATATTGATAAGTAGCCAATTCAGAAGTTGGAACAGCCATATTAGTTTCATCAGAAATTGCCAGTAACTGTTAGTGATAAAAAAGATCAAGAATGAATGAATGGTTTACATTTAAATGGGATAGGTGTTAGTTTGTTTGTAAGGGCTATTGATTAAACTACGGACAGCTTTAAACCAGGACTATACAGTGGTGAGAGCCAGGATCCACTAAGCGCAGAAAAAGTAAGAAGTAGAGAAAAGTTTAGTGTAGGAACAAAGTATAGAAGCAGTTTTAAGGGCAGACTAGATAGTTACTACTTTAACATTAGAAGTATAAAAAGTAAAATAGGTGACTTTAGAACACTAGTCAGAATGGGAAATTTTGATGTAATGGGAATAACTGAAACCTGATAAAATGTAGACATTTTTGAGGACAGAAATTTATTTGAAATACAGGATTATAGGCTATTTAATAGAGTACTAATAAAAGAGAGAGGAGTAGCTGTATATGTCAAATGTGAGTTACATCCTTTTGAAGTTGAGGATGTCAAAGATAATAGCAAGGTGATTGAATCCATTTGGGTTTCTGTTAACAGAGAGAAAGACAAACAGATCAAACTGATGAAATCATTGAGAAACTGTGCAGTGTAATTAAGATTTCAGTTGTTAAGGACATAATTATGGGAGTTTTTAATTTAAGGCATACAGATTAAAATATCAAAATCAAACCATGAGGTTGATAGGAGTTTAGAAACCTTTCATGATGGTTTTCTTCACAAATTGATTAGGAAACCTACTAGGAATAGTACTATTTTAGATTTATTGTTAACTTATAATATCAAAATGGCTGAGATAATAGAGATTGGGTTCAAAAGATCATTGCTCAATTAAGTTTGATATATTATTGCATATGAAGACCATTAATAATGAGAATTTGATACATCTTTTAAAAAAGCAATTTTTGGAAGAGATGCAACAAAAATTGCCTGTTGTGAATTGGACAACAGAATTAATTGGAAATACTGATCAAATGTGAAAATTTTTTAAAATAAATATTTAATATTCAAGGGAGACATATTACTCACAGTAAAAAACAAAGATGGCTGCAAGTAAAAACCAAGTTGGCTCACAAAGGGTATAAAGAATAAAATGAAAGAAAAGCATTATATGATGGGAGGCTTAGAGGATTGTGGAAGATTAAGAGGGTTTGTCAAATGGGAAGTTAGAAAATCGAAAAGGGTATATGAAAAAAAGGTTGGCTGAAAATGTCAAAATTAACACAAATGATTTCTTTAAATATATTAAGGGTAAACAAAATGTTAGGATGGGAGTAGAGCCTTTTAGGATCATTCCTAAAGGTCCATTTCTGATTATTATGAGATAGCTGGATTATTAAATTATTTATTTTTCCTTTTTTTACTAATTAAGATTTAAGCACTACTCACTCTGATCAGTTGGTTGATTAAAAAATTGGGAAATTTAAAGAATAATAAGGCACCTAAGTCAGAAACTTCCCCATGGGTTTTGAAAGTTTAATCATATTCAAAATCCCTGTAGAAGTTTCTGGCCCAGGAGCCTTATTATTGGATGTGTAAACCATTTGCTACTATTTTGTTCTTAATTCTTGAATAGTGGGCAGGTACAAGAGGATTGGAAGTTGGCTAATGTTGCTCTTCTTTTCAAGACATGGGATAAAAATTGTCCTAGCAATTATAGTCCTATTAGTTTTACATCAGTGGTGGGAAGAGTTTTTGCAAGTCTGATAAAAGATGCTTTGCATAGTCATTTAACAAAGTTTGAAATTTTGTTTAAAAGTCAAGATGTTTCAGTAGGGGAAACTCATGCCTTACTTATTTTTGAGATTCTTTGAAGTTACTGGTTATGTAGGTCAGGTGATGGTGTGAATTTCATGTATATGGATTTTCAGAAAGCATTTGACAAGGGGCATCACAAAAGAATGGAAGAAAGCAGAGGTTGTTATAAAGGAGTTCATTCAAACTGGATTAATGTCACAAGTTGGGTACTCAGGGCCCAGTATTAGGACCCTTGCTTTTTTTTTTATTTACATCACTGATATAGGTGAAAGAATTGTGAATAAATTACTTAAATTTGTTGGTGATATTAATGTCTTAAGTGGTGTTGGCTGTGAAAAGAATGCTGATGCTTTACAAAAGGATTTGGACTACTTAGTGAGTTGGTGACTAAATATCAGATGTCTTATAATTGTAATAAATGCAAGGTAATCTGAGTGAATTATTAATTATAAGTATAATTTTGATGGGCATAACCTTAACAGTGTTATGAAAAAAAGAGGATCCTGGTGTTCTGAATAATCAGTTTCTTAAGCCATCAAAGTAGTGTGCTGTTGCTAGTGGTAAAGCAAATGTGATTTTAGGTTTATCCCAAAGATATATTGACAACAGGTCTAAGAAGGCTTTAATTTCATTTTATAGGTTGCTGATTAGGCCATATTTGGAATATAGTGTTCAGTCATGGGCTTCTTACATTAAAAAGTACACAGATTGTTAAGAGAATTGATAGCATTGATGATTCGTCTTGTTTTTTGTACATAATGGTGAGAATAGTAGAACTACGGGGAAAAATTTTGGAAGGGTAGGAGCCATCTTCAGCTAAAACATTTTTTGATTACTAAAGCACTACACACTACTAAGGGCTGGTATGAGTGTTTTATTTTTTTAAAGTTTAGTTTAATGGATTGGATGACCTTGATGGACCAATAGGTCCCTTGTTGTCTTTAAACTTTGTTATGTTAAATTAAAGCAATGTAGAAAAAAGTGTATCTGAAAAAGCACATGGCAAAGAAGAACAAATAAATTACAGGTAAGTTTCCTACTTAACTCTGTGAGAGACTTGGTTTACCAAGTTAGTTTGAGTGAAACTTCACTGAATGGTGATGTTCATGTTAAGATAAAAGTACTTCTTGTCATTTTACAGTTTTCATATTTCATTTTCATAATCTCTAGAAGTTTCTAAATGAATATCAAATGTTTTTTGTTGTTTTTTTTTGTAAAATTTTATATTCTATCTCTTATTTTCTATATTAACAGAATACTTGACTTTAAGGTCTATAAAGATATCATCAATGCACAGTTGAAACATATAAAATAAGTAATACCATTCTTTCTTCTGGTCTGAATTTAGTATTGATCAGGAAGTTCCAAATTATTCATCTTAACAGTTTCAACTGTTAACCTTTTCATTTCTGTTATATGGTCTTATTCCAGTACTTTGTACCCACTGGAGCAGTAATCCTCTTGTCTACTAAGCAATAAATCACAGTAAATGCCATTGGCTGTTTCCAGCAAACCTAACGTAAAAGTACGTGACAGTACAGTGAAACATGACTTGCACATTGCTTAGCTGAAGCTTGTGAAATTTCAGGTGTTTTATTTTAAGATAAAAATTTTTGTTAAAAATATGATAAATAAATAACAATGATTTGTAGTACTTTCTGTTTTTGTACTAGCCACTGTTTGTCCTTAAGCATGATTGAAATCTCACAAATGTAGATGTCCAAAAAATAATGTCCATCAGCCATGTAAAGTTCATTAGCAAACAGTCTCAAAATTTGGAAAGAGAGGTGATGGCTTCTTCTTTGGTAGGTTTGACAAATGTATTGATTATTTTGGTAAATTAAGAAATCTAGGAGGTGCAAATTTAAGATTTTGTCTTGTAAGTATTTATAATTTGTGCTTTCATTTCATTGGAAACTGCAGAAACCCATTTTTGATATTATAAAATTCTTAAGTGAAGTCTTTTGATCTCAGATGTGTTATGTGACACAGAAAAATGAAGATTGAGAGTTTTTTATATGTTTCTTTTAAAAAGTTAAAACTTGTATAATTTAAAAATGTGAGTTATAAATTACATTTTTGTGACAAGTTTATTGGCATACCTTGAAATAAAGTTAATGAATTAAACTTTGAATGTAACACTGTGAAAGGTCAACGTACATGAAAGGGCCCATCCCATATGCATAGAGCTAAACAATACCCAGAACATAAAGGTGGAAATAAGAAACAAATCCAACACAACACTTAAAGTAGAAGAAGAAATTGCATCCTGATTCGGAACTCTGGCCTAATTTTGTCACATCTATAATATAAAATCAACACAAAAAACTACAAAAGATCAAATATCAGGTATGATTAACCCTTTTTGCTTGGGGCTAATGTAATTTTTATCACCTCGACTGGGGAAGGACATTTATGAGTTGAAAAATTACTTGTTTCAACAGTATTTATTTAGAGAACTTTGAAATATACAAGTCAAAAGATTATGTAAGCATCTTATAGTTTTAGACATACATCTACACTACACACTACCATTGTATTATTGAAGATACAGGGTGCCAAAGTAGAGAATATTCATAACTTGTTGGTCACGTGACAATACATCTGAAGTTTTAAGTACTTTTTTAAAGGTTTATTTTGAAATGAAGGACTTAAAACTTAGATAGCATAAAACTTCGAATCATAACATACATTATAATGTTAATTTAATTCACCTAAATTGATAATAAAGGTGTTTAATTAAATTTTTAATGTAACACGGTGACTTTCGCAGAAAAGTGTTTAAAGGGGTACTCGTGGTTGAAAGGTTAATAGCTAAATGATACCCATGAAGTAAATCAAAGAATAAATTCAAAAAGAGTCACTCATAAGAGTTACAAATGGTGTCCCAATATGTAACTCTTACTAAGCATGGTTGTTGAAGAAACGTAAGTCTGATTATACTGCTGATTGGCTGTGCATTAAATCATATAGAATAAGTGAAAAACATATTTTGTACAAATAGCAGAAAAGCAAGTAATGAAAGTAGATCATTTCTATTTGTTTTGCTCAGATTCCAATTTTTGTAGGCTAGCATTCCTAATTTAGACTAATTAGGGTTGGCATTTCTGGTACAATACAATAAAAACGGTTGGTCAGACAACTTTCAGTAACATCAGCATGGTCAGTTTTTGTAATTTTATTCAGACCAAAAGCACGTATTAAAATAGTTTTTGTTTTTATTACAGAAAACGCATGAGGGATGGCGAGAGATACTGATTGACATTGATGATAATGTGGGTCCCCACCATCTGAGATATGTGCTGTCCAGAGGACCTACTCCAGCAAGCAAATTTTTTGTTGATGTAAGTGATTTTTTAATTATTTTTTTATTCTCTTTTTGTTGCACTGTCAGTAATGTTTCTATAGATAATACTTTACATCATTTTCTGATAAGGTAAATTACTTGTTCAGTGCTGCCCTTGAACTCTCACATACCCCACAATTAATGTGGTTCAACTGTATTTTGCATGTAAATCATCATGCGACAAGCCTCCACCAATAGGAGTGTGACACACCCTCCTGATGCATGTGACTTCGTCTATTTAATTTTTCCGAACTATCACTTCTAATTTGGCAGTGATCTAGTGCATACATTTTTCGATTGTGCTCTCTTCAAGTGTTTTTCTTTCAAATTTCCATAAAGTAGTGATTTCATAACAATATTTCACTACAAATTGTTTTTTGTAGTTTTGACCTGACAACATACCTCTGTTTGTTGTTCTTTCCTTTTTTTTTGAATTCTTCACAATTTATGATGAATTCCGGAGTTCATGTCACCACTTAGGATTTTCTTCCAGCATACTAACCCAAGCTTCAGGTCAGAGAACCTAGACAGAAGAATTTTTGGCTTTAATTCTTAAGTTTATAGGAGTGTATCTAAGTAGCCTCTCAGGTAATCAACAAAACAATGTGAGTATAACAAAATACTTTTTTCCTACTTAGAGGTTTCAAATTTCATTTGCATAACCCCTAGAACCTCTGAAGTGAGTATCAAAGTTCTTTATAAATTAAAATTAAATGATTATGTATATTTTTTTCACTTTATGATGTTACTAACTGTAGCTGTTATTGTCAACTTATACTATAGTCTATAGTACATTACAATGAAATGTTTAAAATTAAGTCATAGGAAAAATATACATACCTTTTAATATTTCGTTAAATAATCTTAAAACATCTTTTTTTGCATGTTTTTACATTTTCATATGTAATTTATTTTAATAATTTATTATCCTTTCTTGTCCTTTAGCACTGTTATTTATCACAACATATGTCAATAGGCATATTCAGCCAATAGTGGGCAGAGAAACTTTAGCCTTCAGCAGAACATGGTGGTGTTCATGTATTAAACTATCCACTTTGTACAGATTTGCATCTATTTACAGATTCTTCTCTCCATGGTTGGGGGACGTGGGTCGATTGGCAGGAGGCTTCCTAACAATGGTCTTTGGCAGAGGTCTTACCATATCAACATCTTGGAGCTTCTGGTAGTACAATGTACTTTGGATCACTTTCTTCCTTTTGTACACAATTGACTTGTCATGATCCAATCAGAAAATTCTACAGTGGTGGCTTATAACAATCACCAAGGGAGCACTCATTCCCTTTGTGGTTGAACCTTGGAACTCCTTTTTTTTTTTTGGCCCACATGCTGGGGATATGTCTTCTTGCATGTCATGTTCCTGGTGCTTTCAACCTCGTGGCAGATCTCCTTTCCAGACCAGACAAAGTTTATCCCACGGAGTGGTCTCTCAACCCTCAGGTTTGTTTTCCAGTAGCTATGCAGTCAGTTGTGTATTCCTCATCTGGATGCATTTGCCATTTTCTTTCCTCAATATCAAGTTACCTCTTTTTTGATCTCAGGTTCCTCATCCTCAGGCCCTTGCTGTTGATGCTCTCAGCTAGAATTAGACCAACCGATACCCTTATGCTTATCCTCCCATACTTCTCAGGGGGATTTCAATTATCCTGTCACTCGATGTTAGGTCCTTCTGATTGCTCTTTACTGGCCAGCACAACCTTGGTTTCCTTGTCTCCTTCAGCTCCAAACTACCTCTCCTTTGCCTCTCACTCCATCACTGCTGTCAACCTTGATCACCAGTCCTTCCTACCCTCCGTCTTCATGCCTGGCATTTATCAGGTCCTTGAAAAAGTGATCCGGATTGTTTTTGGTGCATCCATTTTAATCTTCCTCACATTCCTATCTGTAGATGGTTCTTCTACAGTCTTTCTTCTACAGGATTGAGTTTCCAGTATTCTGTGGTTTAGATTCCAACCCACCCAGTTTTCTCTTCCTTCCTTGGTTGTGCTCCTCTCATTTTCCTTCCGTGATTGCGACACCTCTTTTCACACTGGATGCAGAGTATACCTGGTACAAAAGTGGTGCGGTCTCCCGCATGTGTTCTTCTCGAAACAGGGTTCACACTTTTGAGGTGTTCTTTCGGAAGCTTTGGAAGGATACTTCTTTCTATCCCTCTCACACAGTTCAATGTGAAATTCTAATTATACATGTGAGAGGAGGTAATGTACTGTATCGAAAATTATTATTTTGCTATACTGAAAACATATTTATGATAGGTACTTACCTCCTTTCAGACATTTCCCACCCTTCCTCCCCATTGCAAACCAGTGCTTCCTTTTCTGCTTAATCTCAAAGTTATAATTTGGTAGAATTGAATAGAGGGAGTCATATGCATCAGGAGGGTGTGTCGCACTCCTATTAATGGAGGGTTGTTGCATGACGATTTACATGTAAGATGCAGTTGAACCACATTAATCATGGTGTACATGGGAGTTCAAGGCTTGTGGCATATGAAAGTTTTTTTTGCATATAGAGGGTAGCACTGTACAAGAATATGTGAGGAAGTAAGTTCCTATAGGAAATATATTTTCAGTATAGGAAAATAATAACTTTTGATTATTAAAAGAATTAAGCTGCTTAATTTGCTCATAAAGACTTAGCAATAAAATGCTTATATTTGATAACTGAATTTCTTTTACGTATTTCTTTACGTATGCACAGACCCTTTAAGAAACCTTTAAAACCTGTAGAAACTATTTTTCAGGTAGCCCAACCTTTAAAATCTGCACCTTCTTCAAATAACCTGTAAGACCTTTTATTCTGATAAGCTGGACTTATATTTTGTAAAATTGGAGAGTTCTGAGGCACACAAAATTCTTATTCTGTTGGCAGGACATATAAACACATGTATGTTGCATATATTCATGTACTGTCTGTTTGTAGTTTGGTATATGTTTTTATTTTTATGTCGTGTTTGCTTTTATATATGCATTATTTTGTGGACATGGCTTGGCTGTCTCATCACCCTTTCACGTCAACAAAAGGAAACAAAAGTTATTTTAGGTGTGGTGGTGTGGAAAACAACCCGGCAGAAGCAGTTCCAAGAATCTTTAAGTTGAAAGGGTCTTTGGGGAATAGTTCGAAGTAGGTATTGACAGTTTACTCTGATTTATCCTAAAATTACCACATATAGGTAAGTAACTATAAAACTTACAGTTGTAATAAATATCGGTATATCTACCAAACTACAAATAGATATATGTCCTGTTGACTCTTTCTTGTGTTGGTAATATAAAATTTGACAAAACATTGAATGTATTTTTATGAATTTCAACTTTTATTTTAATATTTCTTTACTTTCATAATGAAATATTGGAAAAATAATTAGCTAGGGGGCCTGTATGCAATACCTTACGGTATTATAAAATAAAATCATTTCATTGATAATAACACAGGGTGATTCAAAATTATCTTTCTAATTTTAAAATTAAATAATTATATAACTAAAGAAATACAACTATATAGTTTTCAATATCTTTTTTGTCCAATTCAAACTCTTTTTGTTCTCATGTTTTTTTTCACTCCAGTGAGTAGTGTTACCCCATAAAATGGTAACCTTGCAAGATTGCTGAGAGCCACTAATGGTGCATGTGTAGAAGTCTACTGAGTGTGAATAAAAACTGTTTGAGTTGGGCTACAAGTTGCTGAAAACTGCATGGTTGTATTTCTTTAGTTATTTAATTATTATATTTTAAAATATGAAAGAATATTTTGGAATGCTCAGTATTTGGAAATGAAGAGCAGAATGTACATCAAGTTTTCTCATTGCCCAAAGATTTACTAAAGCTATTATTTTAGGATTTTTTCTGTAAAGCAGGGCTCATTAAGATGGTCAAGGACTTTGAATATATATAACTAATGTATAGTTAACTTAGAAATAAAGCTTTACCACAAATTGGCACCTTTCTGATTATTGCTGTGGATGTACCAAAACCAAATGTTGTCTATAGCTTTGTTTGTTTCACTTTTTTTTACTGAAAATATAACTACAGATTTAGAACACATCAGCATACAGTTTATCTAATGACTAAAATTTATTAAAAAAAATAGGAGACTAGTATGTGTGTTTTTTTATATAGATTAATTCTTATGAGGTATTTTACCACAGCAAATTAAAAATTTACTCTATACAGATTTTTACATAATTGAAAATACAGTTATCATTTCAAAGAAGAAAAATATAAGCTTAAATTCACTATAGGGTTTTTCATTTGTTTATCAAAAAAAGTAAAAATTTGGCCTTTTAATTTGTTATACCCTTTATTCACTATGTACCAATTCTCATACCACTTTACCTTTAATGTAACAATTAGACATGAAGGTGCTATGTTTTGTTTGAAAAGTAAATAAAATTGCAGGCATAAAAATGTCCTGATATTGGCTCCACAACCAATATTACGCTGAGAGCCCTTTACAAAACTATTTGTTACTTTACGAATATTTTGCATTGCATTTGAATGCAATGTTCACATTACCTCTCGGCACAAGAATAGGTGAGATAAATTTTGCTGACTAGGGCACAATGTAGGGAGGGCAGTTGCCTAACTCCTGTGCTTAATGTCATTTGTTTATTTTGGGAACAGTACTTGTATATAAAATATGTAGTTTATTAAATTTGAATGATTATTGAATATAGAAAATTACCAGAACTGCATGAAGATTGTACAACAAACTTGCCAGTGTTTTCAATCTGAATTCTAGGTAGGTGGTGTAAACTCACTTTGTTTTTAACGTTTCTTGTGTTATACATCTTTCAGAAATTGCATTATTAGTCTTTACCTTACTAATTTCTCTCTGATTTTAAATTACAAACAGAAATTGAAATTGGAGTAAGTCGGTATTTCTAACAACATTGTTCAATGAAAGTAATTCAATAATTATACATGAAATGAACATACTCATATGGTGCTGAAGATGAGAAACTATAGGTTTCAAAATGACACAGATAATCTACACTTTTGTAGTTATGCTAATATCAATATGAATGTACAAGCCTAATAACATGTCATTTTGTAACAGTACACATATTGGTTCATATGTATAAGCATATATTATTCTAGTTTATTTTCATGTCACATACCCTTAATTTGAATAAAATTGTGTGTATATTTTGTGTTTAGGAACAAGCAATTTGAATTTATGAATGTAGAAATGCATACTGATTTTCTTTAGATATAAAAAACATATATGTAGATAAGTATCTGATTTCTGTGTCACAGCCTAAAGAAACTCGAAGTAGTGTAGAGGTCAGTCCAGAGAGTGGAGTTTTAGTTCAGGATATTGCCATTCGACTTGAACAAGAAGGAGGTTGTGGACTTGTGGTAGATTATGGTCATGATGGTAGCAAAGGTGATACATTTAGGGTAAGAAAATTAGTGCAAGATCTATAAATTAAAGACACCAAGTACTATTATTTTATAAAGTACTAGCGACCATAATATAGGGATTACAGAAAAATGGGCCTTCATCATCTCAAAACAAAATAAAATTTATTTACCTTAAAAAGCCAGAAATCTCATGTGTATTAAAACAGAAAATATCCATCAAAATTAAAATTGGCAGTTTTTTTTTATTTTCAGCAATTCCTTAGCAAGCTAAGGTTTTGTGCTTCTTAATTACTGATGCAATCAGTAGACATCCTTCATGACTTTGTTTATTATTCCATTAATACACAAGTAGTAAAAATTATGTTGAATATAATAAAACAAGTGAGTGCAGATCAGTGTTGATGCATACGTATTTCCTTGTGATGGGAAGCCTGTGGGATGCATGCTGTAGTGTAGTAAAGTAAGTATTTTGCATAGTTTGAGTTGTTTTTACCAACTTTCAAAATTGATATAGAGTTTGACTACAGTCAAAGTTAGAATGAATGAATTAAAATACATTTGTAACTAACTTTTGCCATCTCTAAGAAGTGTAGCTAATATTTTAATACATTGTGTTCATAGAGAGGGGGGGATTATATTATATTAAGGCAATTATAAGTTTGTAAATCAGTAAGTCTCCTGACAACTACAGCCGATATGAAGGAAGATAATGTATCAGAACTATATTTTCACATTGCTTGGCTTTTCATAGGTAGTGATGTCTCTGAAAATTTATCACTTTTAGGAAGGGTATGTAACAGCCCTATCAAAACAAAATATTTATACACTCAGATCATAAAGATGTGTTCAAGTCATGAATCTAGTATTTTAAAGATGGGGATATCCCTTTATTTAATGGCATTGGAAAACAAAGAAATATGGATCAATTTAGGGTACCAGGACCATCCAAAAAGAGACCAGCAACATACCATATCTCATTTGTGGTAAGCTAAGTGTGGCACCTTGTAACAGGTGAAAATCTGAGTATACAAAGGTTAGTGACAAAAGCCATCCATGTGTCTCAGACAACATTATGCAACATAATCAAAGAAGGATTGCATCAGTAAAAGCAACACAAGTCACAAGTAAAATGTCCATTCAGTGTTCACATACTTTCAAGCAACTGGAGAATTAAACGAGTATTCATGCTATTCCATACAAAGACATACTGGTCAAGTCAACAAATACAGCCATTTTGCAACCATACATGATTAAGCTGTTGAAATGGGCACTGGGAGATTGTTTGTTTTATTTGTAGATTAGATGGACTGTTGGGGGAGTAGTGGTATGCTTCTGACATGAGAGTCTTATGATGGAACCTTTTGCAATGAAAACTACACTGTAGGTCTATTGTCAACATACCTGGCCATCAGGTAAAGCATGACCAAATGATTATAATGATGTGGTGAGGCTCCAAAATAGTTTTCAAATAACATTCTCAGGCTCTTTATTATATACTTTTGTTTTGTTTTATGCTGAAAAACAAATTCTGATGGGTCATTCAAATAATATTTAAGTTAAATAATGTGGTGAATCTGAGGAAGAGCTGGTGCTTGAAATTAGGCTAAAATGATTTTGATTATTCTTTATTTTTCATTTATCTCACTCAGTATGGGGTCAGTCCCAGGGACTGACCATGGGACCATCTTTACTTCTATATAGTTTTAATACTAGAACTTTTAATACAGTGTGTGTGTGTATCTTCACAAAATTTGGCAGACTTTTAGTACACATTACAAGTATTTTGTACACAGAAAATTAGTTTTTTATTGAAGTATTTTTACTAACGATTTGTCTGAATATATTAAGTATTTGTTTTGAATAGACCACGTACAAAGTGATTTTCATTTTAAGATTAAAAATACTTTTCTTCATCTCAAAAATCTCAAATTTGATTTGTGTATTCTCTAAAACCTCCTAAATACATTTCAAATGTTTATTTTCACTAACACTTTATATTTTTATCTGTTATTTTCTCTACCCTAACTTTATACAATGTTGGTCAATTTGACCAACCTCGTAACCACCACAAAAAAAAATCGAAAGAAATATAAATTATCCTTTTTATCTTGCTAGAATGACTTCATATTGTAACATGAAACTAAATTCGTTTATTCTAACTAGCTTTAAACTCGTAACAATATACATCTATTTATAATTAACATTTATTGTTTTATTGCCCTTTGAACCGTGTCTAACTACTATTCATGCCATTATAATTATTTGGGGAATGTGTAGGTCACATTACACCATCGAATTACGTTTACCACGAGCTGGTTGCATGCGTGCCTCATGAAGCATTTTTATATATTATTATTATTATATATTTTACCTAATCTAACCTTAACTAACCTAAAAAGATCCCTATTTTTACATTTTAGTTACTTTTATAATAATAAAGAAAGAATAAACATGAAAAACAAGAAATAAAATACTTACTTGAATCTTCTTTTTTCATGCTGTCGATTGTCAATGACACTGGTCATTTTAAATATTATATTTTTAATTGTTTAGGTTGTACATGTGAAGTAAGAGGACTATTTTAAAGAACATATTTTGAATTGTTCAGTTAATATACATGAAATAAAAGGACTGTTTTGAAGACTATTTTGAATTGTTCAGTTAATATACATGAAATAAAAGGATTGTTTTGAAGATTATATTTTTAATTGTTTTGCTTGTACATGTGAAATAAGAGGACTATTTTAATAACCATATTTTGAATTGTTCAGTTTATACATGTGAAGCAAGAGGACTATTTAAAGACCCTATTTTGAATTGTTCAGTTAATGTACATGAAATAAAAGAACTGTATTGAAGAATATATTTTGAATTATTTAGGTTTTACATGCAAAGTCAGAGGACTGTTTTGAAGACCATGTTTTAAGTTCTTTAGGTTGTACATATAAAATAAGAAGAATGTTTTAAAACCATATTTTGACATTTAGTTATACTATGATTCCAGGCTTTTCGACGTCATGCTTTACATGACCCACTGTGTGAACCAGGTACAGCTGATCTAACGGCAGATGTAGATTTTTCATATCTAAAGAAGTTAGTTCAAGGACGAGGTGAGATATTGTTACATGTACATTGTCTAACTTCTTTGGTGATGCGTTGAAACTCATTCTAAATATTGAAGATATTTCAAAACATTTTGAATAATAATATGTTTAACAGTGTATGATTTAAAATTATAATAAATAATGAAAAACAATTTTTACTATTTACACAATTAAAATTAGTTAATTAATTTTGGTTTAACCTCGTAGTCTTATAGCATTAAATATTAGAGAAATAATGAAATATTAAATAGAGACAATGGGACCAGCAAGTCACTATGTTGATATATGGTGAGACATATTAAAATAATTATTAAATAAATAAATAAAAAATAGACCAATGAAATATGTAAATAATGTGAAGCAACGTGAAAAAGGGTAAAAGTATAAGGTATGTCTTGTAAGTAACTCCTGAAGATGACGTAGATCATGTCGAAACTAGTACTTGTAGAGTGTTGTTTTGAAGTGGAAGTTGTACGGCTTCAATAAGTTTGTGTAAATAGTAAACATTTTTAATTATTTATTATGATTTTAAATATTACACAAGTGCTGGTAATTCATATTCATAAATCTAAAAAAGTGTATGATTTCTTGGGCATCAAATGTAATATTAAGTATTATATTCATATAGAGATGTCATAATCTGCTCCAAAACCAAGTTATGAGATAAAATTGTATTTTATAGTCCTAAGTAAATTATTTTTACAAGTTAAAACAAATCTGTAGAACTTAAAGCAAACCCAGTGTTGGCCCCGTTAGCCCAAGGTCCTAGGTTTAATCCCTAGTCTTGGAGTTTCTTTTCACTTATTGGGTTTTTCTCTTACAGTAATATTTTTTAGAGAGTATAGTTTCATTGATTCATAATAATAAAAAATTTATACACGAGTCTAGTTATACTCCTATGATTTGGTTGGGTGGTGGTAAATAAGCCCAATAATTGTCTGATCACAACAGTACGAAGTAGTATGAATCATTCATGATGACAAGGAGCTCACTTGAAGTAAATATATAGTAGAGATGGTTAATGTGGGTATCAGAAACTTTTATTCAAAACAAGTAACAACATTTTGACCCAAGGAGGTTGAAACATTGTTACTTGTTTTGTGTTTTAAATAGAATTTTCTAATACCCATATCAACCATCTCTACTATAAAGCAGTATTAAGTTTCATACTCATAATTAAAAAGTCTTATGAGTGAAGAAAGACAGAGACAGCTATTACTCTTGGATAAGGCATTTGCCTTGTTAGCAAAAGGTCCTGGTTTCAAGCCCCAGTCCCTGAGTTTTTTGTTTATCAGCTTTTGTACTTACAGTAATGGTTGTTATAAAATGCTTTCATTGACTCATAATGTGAATTATATAGACTTTTATGAGTTATACTCCTGTGTAGCAATAAACTGAGTTATGGTTTCACAACTAAATATAGTTTGTTTGTAACCCTTACATGTTTAGCTACTCATTCATAGATGTTAAAGCAAACCAAGTTATGGTTTCACAGCTATTGTATTGCTAAACTGATTTGTCCTTATAATTTTTTTCTCTGTCTGAACTGTTTTAACAGTTAAGTTGGCACTTTCTTGTTTTATAAGATGTATTATAATTAAATATATTTGTCAGTTTTCTGAACATTTGTGTTTCATATCTTAAAATAATAACAGTATACAGCAATCTTAAAATGTAATGTATTCTTGCTTTCCAACTGAGTACACAAACATGATAAGATTATCAACTTGATGAAGAGAGTTTGTTAGATTGTTATTGTAATTTCTTGTAGACACCATCCACCTTTTAAACACATTTTTTGTAAACTGCTTATGTATGAAGTTGCTTATATATTTATTATTTTGTTGGTCCTAGTGTTTCTATTAACACAGAAGCTTAAATAAGAATATACCATGAATATTGCATGTAATCCCAATTTGTTTGATGAGATCTTTCTGCTGAGTGTTACAACAGGCAACAACATAAAAGTATTCCATATGATACAATATTTGAACCCTACCAATAGTGGAAGGTATAAAAATTTTGTAATTTAATTATTAGTAGAATATTATTTTAATGATCTGAGTGGATAATTGTATTCTTTGGGCTGGAACCCTGCAGCTCAGGAGTGAAAGTGTTGGTCTCAAGGCACTAATTTACTTTTTTTTTTCACCTATTACGGTTACAAACTTATGTCAAAAAAAGAAATATTGGAATGTTACTGTTGAGTTTCAGTTGCCCTAGGAATTTGAAAAAGAAAAGAAATGTGGTAGACATGTGCTATATTAAAAGATTATCAAGTTCTCTAAAGTGTTAGATGTAGTTAATAATGTATTATAAGCTATATTCAGTATAGCAGCAGTTCAATATGTAGGAAAGTAGTCTCAGTCCTAGAGAGGGCCAGGGAGTTAAGCCAACTTGCTTTTACACATATATCAGTGGTACAATATTTTAAAATGTATAAAAGCTGTAGTAAGACTCAATTATGTAAATTAACTATTGTTTATTATTAATCATAAGGTATTAAAGCATCACCCCTGTATACAAGTTGAAAAATATTTAGGCCTCGTGTCATCTGTATACATAAAAGCCACTTTCTGTTTGTAATGCTCGACTCTGTTGTTAATATTTAGATTTGCTCAGTGTTTTTCTCAAGTGGAAGCATCTAGTTTAAATCCCAGTGAAATGGGGAATTTCTGTAACTTTCTTAATTATTTATTTATCAGATTTAGAGCAAGATATTATATTATTAGGAAAAATCACAATAACTTTGTAGTTTACATTAGGGATTTGAATTATTTGTTAAAATTTGATTACAAAGGGTGGGTGTTATAATGCTTGACTATTGTGTAGGAGTCTTGTTTTAAAATCCCAGTCGAGTCAGGATTTTATATTATTATTTTTATTACTATATTTATCTTTGAATATATTTATTATCATATCTACCACAAGCTCTTTGAATGTTAGGAAAAATATGAATACAATTGTAGATTAAATCATAGATAATATCATATTACATTATAAATACCAGTGACTATATATCAAAAACAACTTGAATATCTTTTCAACCCAATAGATGGTGATACAATACATTATTATTGATGTTTTTCACCTTCAGCAAGGGATTTTTAAAAATTTAGTCAAAAAATTAAAAACGATTGTTATTAAAAATTTCCAATAAGGTACTCTCCCTCCACTCACAAGACTAGCTTTTCTCGTTTTGTGCTGCCCTCTATACGTGAACTTTTTAAGAAATGCATGCCACAAGCCTTCATCCTCCCTCTGTTGGAATCCACAGTTCCAAAAGTCTCTCATGCAAATCATTATGCGTCACCTCTCCGACAACAGGAGAGTACTACTATCACGTGATGCAGGTTACTACCTCTACGCCCCACTACCGACCTTACACTTCTCGTTTGGCAGCTGTCGAGTTTAGATGTTCTTTTCACATTGCTCAGTTATCTTGAAGTCGTTTATTTCTTTCCAGTTTTTATATTTACTCCCTCTACGCACCACTACCGACCTTTCACTTCTCGTTTGGCAGCTGTCGAGTTTAGATGTTCTTTTTACATTGCTCAGTTATCTTGAAGTCGTTTATTTTTTTCCAGTTTTTATATTTTTCATAACTTTATTTACAACACTTCATAGTTGTGGAGTTAATATTTTAATAAAGCATTACTTCCTCGTGTTTCGCGCTTATGAATTCCGAAGTTACAGTCAGGTACTTCGCCAGAATCTGATGCCGTATTTCAGCCACAGGCATGGGCGACCTGTCGGGGAATAAATTGTTGCTTTTTCATCTACTTCTGCTCCACCTCCTTCTGTGCCTTTCAGGGCCAGGCTAATGACGATTTTTATCATTTGTCGACATTTCCCCCTAGAGTTTGCCACACCTTCCCGTCCACTACCTGATGATCCAGCTTGTCTGTCATTGGTCTTTTCAGACTTTATCTCTCGGGTATATGATGTTTTGTCTCTTACACCTGTTTCCTATGACCCTAAACCTACCCTCTTACATGAAACTTCCTGATCCTATTTAGTCTTTCCACTGTCTCCCGATATTAGGGTTCACGCAGACTTATTTGCTCTCAACTGGGGGAGAGTATTAGCATGCCTCGTCCCCCACGGACTTCAGGTCAGTCTGCTCTTACTTATCATCAAGCTGTCTTTCCTTTTCTTGACTAACAGTTGTTGGGGTTGATTCTACCTGTTTGGGGGGCGAACCCAGATTACCCTGTCCAACTTAACCAAGCCCAATTTTTTTGCCTTCATCTCATTCTCACGACCCTGTTAAGGTACCTTTCTTCCCTTCCCCTTCTGTCAGAGGCTCTTAACAGGAACCCTGAGGGTTTTTCTGCTGAAATCCTCTTTATCCTTACTTCTATGTTAGCTTGTCTGTCGTCTTTGGCTCTCATGCTTCAAACATGATTTATTTGTTGTTGGGACCTTTTTGGCTGTGACATGGTTTTGGTGTGGATCTGTCTCCAGGCTCCTTATCAGAGGGACCTCCGCATGGCACCGTTTTTGTGGCATTATGTGTTTGTCTCGGTTCCTGAGTTTTTGTAGTCGTGGGTGGCCTCTGCCAATCAACATTCTACCCTTACTAACTTGGTAGTTTGTTTGTTGTGGTAGGGGGTTGAGCACGGCACTGATTCCTGTCCCCCAACCTTCCCCTTCACAATCTCTTCCTGTCCCACCCTCCCGCAGTCCCATGGTTCAACGATTTCCTCGACAACACATGATCTGCCAACAGCAGTTCCAGTGACTATGTGGTCTGTTTGGGCCCAGTGGGGGCTAGTCTCTTGAATTTCATTCATCTGTGTGGATCTTTTCTTGCTGACGTCTGGGTTCACAAAGTGCTCTCAGAGTGATTCATTATCCCCTTTCTCTCCCTTTCTCCATTATCCAGTGTTCCCTTTCCTTCTCCTTGGGATCACTCAACATGCCAGCATCTGTCAGAGGCGGTTCAGGACTTCATCAAACAACAGGCTATTGAATCAATTCACCAGGTTCACTAGGGTTTTACT